CCCAGAGGGCCTCCTGACACTGATCGGCTCCTGCGTTCTGACCTGAGGGACTGAACCCCGTCTCCCCGTGAGCAACTCCCGCACAGGGCCCTCATGCTGAGGTCTGGCCTCACCAGCACAGCCACACCATGGACCACAGGAGCAGGAATCGAATCACCTGCAAACAGCGACAGCTGGGTTACTTCTGATAAAAAAATCTCTAATTCACAAGTGGCAACCCACTTACCAGGGGTGCTCCAGGGAAAAAATTCCCTTACAGATATTCTAAAGTTTAGCACACATGAAACTTTTAAGCCTCCATTTTCACTCACGTAGCACACGCACCCTGGGCCCCGTGGGTCCCGGGGGCCCCAGGCTGGGCTGTGAACTCCTCTCCCCTAAGGGAATGACCTGGACCCAGTGAGCCCAGAAGACTGAAGGAAGCTGCCGACACCACTGGCAGGAGCAGGCACATTTCCCCAGGGTAATGACCAACGCTGACTGCACCCCACCACCCGACCCAGGCAGCACAGACCAAAGGACTCGAGACCACAGGCGCGGTCTTGCGAGACAGGGTCTCCCAGAAGACCTGGGCCGGCTCACCCGGCCATCTGGCAGGAGGCGGCCCGAGCGTGTGGAGCGTGTGCTCGGGAATGAAGCAACCGTGTAGCCATCAATTAGCACCCAATCTGCAGCCAAATTTATACCCTAAACTTCTTGCGTGTATTCAAACTGTAAACAGAAGCTCCTTGAACGCTGGTTTTGTTTTCCAGCTGTGTACCTCTGAAAGCCAGAGGAGTGAAGACCCCGACCCAGACCCCAGGGACGGGCTTCATTTTCCTATCAGGACTCCCTCGGCCTGGGCAGCAACACTGACTACGGGAACCGGCTGCCGGAGGCTCTCCTGCAGATGCAGACGCGGTCCTGCGGGGCTGGACTGTTAACATCAAGATTCTCTCAGGTAACGTCAAGGCCCATCTGCAGAGTTCGTCGTGGAAATGGAACATGCACAACAGCGCTGTTCTCAAACATGCGCAAGCATCGCGAGCACACCAGCACCCAGTCCACACACCTGCCTCTGGGGCTCCTGCAGCCTAGCCCGAGCCCCCAGAAAGTCCAGCCTCCTGTGACTCAGTTTCCTATTCTGTAAAATGGGAAAAATACAACAACTTATTCAATTCTATGAGAAACCCAAAGTACAAAGAGCAAGAGAGAAGACAGATAACCATCTTTACAAACTCCCTTCAAAAGCCATGATGTGAATTACATGAGTGAACACATACAAATCCCAGAGAGCCGCGGCCCTGAGCCGACTGCTCATCGTCACCCCGCGGGATTGACCGCCAAGGGATCCCTCGCAGGTTCACGAGGAAGCTCGCTAATGGCTACTGGTCCTGTCTCATCCTTCACAGGAGGAAGCGATGGAACCCCTGGGTATGGTATGCAGTTCCCACATTTGTGACAAACTGGGGACACAGTGGATTGCGCATCAAAATGCAGGAACAAGCAGAAATGGCTTCCCACTTACCCTGGAAAGAATTCAGACAGGAAGAAAAATTTCATACTTGTTTCTTTCTGATTAGAAGAAGGAGTAAACCCCACACAACCCATGGCCCATCTGCTGACATCTTTTTTGGTACCAGGAATCGAACTCAGGACTTTGCACTTGCCGGGCAGGAGCTGGGCCACTGAGCTCTCTCCCCAGCCCCTGACATTTTAATATATTCTCCTTGTCTCTCTGTTCTGCACCAATGTAGATTTTACATCACTGTAGTACTTAGCAATCTGCTTGACTTATATTTACAAAATGCATTTTTCTGTGCCATTTTTTAAAAATCTCACTAGAAATGAGTGCACAGAGGCAATCACTGGAACATAAATAAGAAATGATTTTTAACAAACTTCTTTTTGAATCTACAGTTTTGACATCCAAAATACCCTGTTGATCTGGGCTTGTTTACTGTCCAGTGTGTTTGTTTTTAAATAAAATTCTCTGGTCAAACATAAATTGTATAATTTATCTGAAAATTTACAGAAAGCAAAGGATAAAATGTCTACCTACAACTATGCTGAGCCTGCAGGTGGGCATCCAGCTGCCCTTGGTGCCCGCTGGCTCAGGGGCAGGCACCCCTGACGTGGGATCAGACAAGCCCGCCAACAGGATGGGACAGGAAAGGAGGAGCGTGTGTTACAGTGGGGCCGGGGACTGAGGAGCAGCACCCCAGGCTAATACCCGTCTCTCTCCCAAGAGACCGGCGCATCTGAGGCAGAGACCATCATCCTGGCAGAGACACCGGGCCACACCAGGACCCTCAGCCCCCAGCTTTGGGAAGAGCAAGCAGTCCACAGCCTGGAGCTTTTGCACAAAAAGGCGCATGTCTAGCATGCCATGAGAAACACAGATAGGGCAGGCTGAGTGCCCTACAGACAGGAAGTGAGGACACGGACCCTCTAAAGACAGGAAGTAGGACACGCGCCCCTGAAAGACATAGGGACCGTGACTTAGGAGAGCCTGCCCTCGTCTCCCGTGGGGTCCCGGTATCTGGCCTATAAAATACAAATGGCTACTGTAACTGTGGAGGGAGCCCTGGACTCTGCCTCAGCAGGACCTCTATCACCCTTTGGCAGCAAATACGCTTTCTGAATGCAATTCTTTGCTCCACGGAGGGCCTCCCTCGCGGGAGGATATGCTACCTCCTCCCTGAGGCTGGAGCTCCGTCCCCAAACACCGCATTACTGTGCACTGCCCTTCCCCAGGGAATCTGCAGTTCTCTTCCAACTCAGCTACTGAAAAACCTTCCGGCTCGTGTCAAAATGAAGACTCATGTTACGAGAACTCAGTGTTTAAAACAAGCCTGAGGCTGAGCACTGTGGCACACGCCTGTGATCCTAGCACTTGCGAGGCTGACGCAGGAGGACCGTGGCAACTTTGAAGCCAGCCTCAAGTACATAGCAACCTGTCTTGAAAGCTCAACAAATAAAAACTAAAATGAAATAGGCTCCAGCACCCTACTGTTCTGGCAATATGAGCCTTCCTAATTCTCCAAGGCACTGCAGCCTGTCCGAGGCACAGGGATTTTTTTCTGTGGCATCCCCGCAGCTCCCCACCCAGCAGGGTCACACAAGAGCTAAACCACACCTGAACCTCACGCCTGGGGACCCTCTTTGGCCTGCTCCTCCAGGCTCCGCCCCAGGTCGCACACTCCAGGGATCTGAGCCATAGCAAAGATCCAGAGGTTTCCTTCAAATGAGCAGCTCTAAGTTCCCCCACTTGCCCAAAATGGAGAGCAGCAGGCTCAAGTGAAGCAAACACAGGCGACTGCCTCTCCCCATGAGAGGATGGAGCTGGCCCTGGTGCCAACCTCCACCCACTCTGCTCCACACGAAGCCCGCTGGACCCAGTGCGCCCCCACGCCTGTGGGTTCCACTGAGAAGGATGTAACATCTAGTACTTCCAATCCAATTTTTCAAGCAATTTTGAGGAGGCGAACAACCGCCTGGCCTGGTTTCCAGGCGGCCCGGGTGAGGGAGTGCATGCATGTCTCTGCCAGCAGCAGTGTGGCTCCCTGGTGATGCGTCCCAAGGGCCCCCTCTGCCGCAGGTGCCAAGAAGCCAATCTTGGCCGCTCAGCACTCCTCGTTCCACCTGCGGGCCCTGGGCAGCTGCGCTAACAGAGACGGATGGCCTGTCAGCGGGGAGCTGGCATGCCGCGCTGGGCGCAGCGAGGGCACAGCCAGCCTGGGCTCCAGCACCAGCTCTGGGGAATACGGGGGCTCCTTTCACCACTCACGTGCCTGGTGTGCGGCGGAAGCAAGCAGTCTGGGGTGTGGTATGCCTGCTTAAAGTCCGAGTCCCTAGCACAGAAGGAGGGGTGAGGGGACGGCCTCCATCAGGTTGCCCCAAAAGCCTGGTGCCCAGGGGAGGATGTTGGGCAGTGGATTCAGACACTGCGGGCACCGAGGCCTGCAGAGATGAAGCCCGAGGAGGTGCCTACAATCCCCGTTCAAATCATCTGGTAGAACGGAGGTGGGGCTGAACCACACATTGCAGAAAGCAAGGATCTGTTCACAGAATCAGAGCCAAGGGCTGGGGATTTAAAGCCGTGTCCTTAGTAACAGGATTTATCTCTCTGAGTGCGTCCTCGCATCTTTCACAGTCCTCTCAGATGAGGGTCTCACTGGCCATTATCAGGAACAAAAATACGAATAATACGAAGAGAAACTCAAACCACAGAAAACTTCTCAGCATTTACACAAGTAGTGAGGAAAGGTAATATACGCAGGGAGTTATATACATAATAAGACCTGTAAAGGTACGTGTTTCTTTTCTTTAGTTATAACCACAGTCATAAACCACACAATTCAGTCATTCCAGCTGAAAAACAAGAACATAATTCTACTGGGTTAAAAAAAAAAAAAAAGAAAGAAAGAAAGAAAAGATGCCACTATTCAGGGTTGGGAGTGTTTCTACTGTCATCTGTTTTGTCACCTCGCTGGCATAAAAGAACAATGAGCTAAGCTTCAGAATGGAGCCGGGGGCACTCACAACGGGCAAGGGCTGAAACACGGGTGTGATTCTAACAGGTGCCAGGTAAAAGGAAGTGATGGCAAAGGCCACGCTCCTCATAACTGAACGGACCATTCCAAAATGACAAAACAGTTTTCAAAGAGTTGCAGTACCTGTTTCCTTCTGTTTAATTAAAAGCTGATCATAAACTGTGGAAGGTACACTTGCACTGCAGTAAATAAATTTAGAAGACAGAGTGCTCATACACAGTACGTTTAAAGACAAACTCAGGACCTAAACCCCCAGCACCAGCCCCAAGGCCAATCTGCAGACTCAGGAAAAACATTAGGAGAGGAATGTAAAAGCTGAGGACATGGGTGGTTCTAGGGTGCCGGACAGAAGCTCCCCAAGGACAGGGCATGAGACCTCAGGACACCTGCTGCCCCTCTGAGAGAGGCCAGGTCAGTTCCCCAAGCCATGTGCCTGCACTGCCCATCCCAGAGAGGGGCACCTACCTTGGGCCTGGGCCGCAGAGCTGTGGGAGTAGCCCAGCGCCAGGAGCGCCGTCTCCACCAGCTGGCTGAAGAGCACATCCTTGCGCACCAGGACGAACTCAGCGTGTTCCTCTCTGTTGTCATACTCGAGAGAGCCGTCCAGCTGCTCCACCACGCAGAAGACGGGCACCATCAAACCTGGAGGAGATGAGAGCAGAGCTGGGTTACCATGCAGCTCCCAGCCTGGGATGAGATGGTGCTAAATGTCCCTTGGTGGTGGCCCAGGGCCTTAGACTGCACCAGCCTCTTGGCAGGGGGGCTGGATGGCAGGCAGGGGTCCCCTTGTGTTACTACCCCACTGCAGAACTGCCTGAGCAGCAGGGAGAGCCCTGAGATTCCAGCCATTAAAAAGGGAGGCCCCCCATGAGCTCAGGCCCAGCATACAGGCAAGGTCAGGATGACCACGGAGCCTGGTCTGCATACCTGCTTTCACCAGGAACTGCGAACCAGCCCTGGCACACCGCAGTGACGCTGCCTCGACTAGAATGCATCCCCCGCTTCCCGCCCAAGACACCTCTGGGAGCAGGGTGGCATGTTTGATTTCAGGGCCTGAGACAGTCCATGAGTAGGTACAGGAAGGGCAGTGAGAATTTTTACAAGTTCCTCTGGCTGCACTTGTTTAATTGTGGTGAACAGCTCATCCACTGGGCGGAGAAGATCCTGATCACTAAAGCCTTAACTAACAGTTAGCTCTCGTCAAGCACACTACCAGATACAGAGCCTCGTCCCCTGAAAATTATTTTATGTATTAACACCAGTTACCACTAGAAAAAGTATCTTTCTTGTGTTTGCGAAGAAAAGAAGTAAACTACCCTAAAGAATAAAGCAAATTAGTTTAGTTGAAAATCTGTTGAAATCTGTTGTCACTGAAATATTTCTCTGCTTTGTATCAAAGTGTGAAAAGCTAAAAAATGTTTAATTCGCCAAACATTTTTAAACTGTTTTTTTATTTAAAAGAAAAAAAGTCATACAGGCATTGAAATCTACATACAGCCAAGGCAGAAGATTCGAGTGCTATCAACACACGAGTTGTAAACCCGGACTCTGCCCTGCACGGCGCACACAAGTCTGCATGTCCCGGAAGGAGGTCGCGGGGGGCCCTTGTCTGCGAGAAACACGCAGTCCTACCAGGTCCGGGGAGGTAGAGACCAGGGCTGGCCGGGGACAGCCAGACCCACGCGTAATGGTGCAGTCCGTGGGGGCCACGTTGGGAGCGCAACGCCTGGAGGCCCTCCCCACCCGACTATCCCGGAGCCCTGACTCACTCCCTGCTGAAGGGCACAGGCGGGGGCAGACTCGCTGCAAACTACGGGCTACCAGATTGAGCTTTCTGTTCTAAAGATAATACAATGGCGCAACTGGTTCCCCTGTGCTAATTATTATTATTAAAGATAATAAGTATTGGGCACAATTATTAAATGTAGCAATTATTAACAGTAATAATACTCATTAGGCATTGTTATCATTAAAGACCAGAGTAATTATTATTAAGACTGCATAAACTCCTAGCAAATCCCGTCAATCATGCCAGGCATTGGTGCTGAGCGACCACATGGCTCCTGCGTCTGCAGCAGCACCCACGCTGCCCGTGGTACAAATGGATGGGAATGCCAAGGCGGGGCAGGCCGAGCTTTCAGACAAAAAGGGGATTTAGCCTGGCCACTGGGTGTTACAGAAAACAGCCTACATGGGGGCCACCCCTGTAGATGATGTCTGACTATCCACACTTAGACTGCAGGACAGGAAATGAATGACACTGAGCTGCACCGAGTTCTCTGTGCAACCGGTCCTGTCTGGGTTCATGCACTTGGCCAGCCCGAGCAGCTGCTGTGTGCTGCAGGCCCCACCCTGTGCAGGGAGCGCTGCACAGCCTCTAGAGCAAACCCTCAAGCTGGCACGGGGTGCCTGGCCCGGAAGCAGGCTGACTTCCGCTCCCTACAACTGCAGCAGGTATACCCAGTGGGGTCAGGAGTGCCTGACCACGAGGGCCTGTGTGTGCTCACAGGGTCACAGTCACACATCCTCGTGTGTGCCATGCACCTCGGCACCAGGTAAGACCCCTGAATCCAGTTGCCTTGGAGCTGTTACTTGGCAATTTCCTGGGAGCATAAACTTTTCATGGTCTGGAGCTACGGTCCAGACCATGTTACAAAGACAGATGATATTAACAGCTCAATTAGATAGGCGATCACAGAAACACAGGATAAAGCACAGGGATCTCGGGACCATCAATAAGTGAAGCATTTTTAAGTGCTGCTGTTCACTGACTCAAGGCAGAAGCAGTAAGCCCAAAAAACAGCAGAAAGACACCCCTCGGTCAACAGGCAAGCACCTCCCGGTGTGGGCACTGCCTGCCAATACAACAGTCACCTGCAGCGGGTGACGGCTGGGTATGTTGTGAAGCAAATACACAGAAGCCAATAAACTATCAAAGAACATTGTATTTATCCCTGAGGAAAGATTACCTTCTTTTTAAAATTTGATCTAAACAGTGACTGTCTTTACAATAAAAAGTAGATGGAATTACTAGTGCCAACGACAAGAGAAATGAAGAGCCGTAAAATAGGCTGGCGGTGTTGTGGCGTCTGCTCAACCCTTCTAGCCTTCAAAACAAGTCCCCGAGAGAGATGGGACTCCCCGTGCCCCATCACCCGCGCACTGCACACACGGAGAGAAAGAGGAAGGAGGTGTGGAGCGAGGGGCAGGACGGGAGGGGCGCAGGACGCACTTCCGAAGGCAGGGTGAGAAGGAAGGGTTAAAAGGCCAGTCCCAGGGAACAGCAGAGTGGGAAGCAGGATGCCCAGGTTCAGAGCCCACTCCAGGCGGGCGGGCAGCAGAGCTAGGGAACCGCCCGGCTATGCGAGCATACGGTGTTATTTCTCTTTTATGGTAGCACAGACCCATTTCCAGACGATCAGGTGAGAACTTTGGACCTTCTGATCAAGCCCTGCTAAGCCTTTTACAGTTACAGCAGAAATGGGAGCTCAATCCTCAGGGCAGGCGCCTGGGCCCCGCTGTGCTCTGCAAGTCAAGCCCCGTCCTAGCCATGGAGATACTTGGAAAATTCTGTCAGAGAACACAAAAAACAAGCCTGGAACTCTGTCCAAACATGGTAGCTATGAGGCTGAGCTTCAAGCTGTTCCCAGGACCTCATGTCTGAGAAAGCATAGAGAGTTACAGGAAGTTAAACGACGTTAGCCAGGGGTGGCGGGCATACCTGTAACCCTAGCTACTCAGGAGGCTGAGGCTCAAGGATCACTAGTTTAAACACAGCCGAGCAACTTAGTGCAACCCTGTCTCAAAATAAAATTTTAAAAATCTTTAATTTGCCATTGTTACTGCCTCTCCACAACACACCAGTCACGCGAGCTGAGCCGGGCAGGAGAACGGTTAAATGGACAAACGGCCCCAGCCAGGACCCTGTGACCTTGGCATCATTCCCTGCAGGTGAGCAAACCTCTGCGGTTTATCTGAGCTCCTTCCACCTGCAAATGTCAGGTGTGGTCCTGGATGCTCCAGAGGTGACACTGTGTGCTGTGTGTGACGCATCCACACGGGGCTCCCCAACCACAAGCCTGTGTTGCCTTCCTCGGCAGCAGTACCAACACCGACCATGCTGCCTGAGAGGAACCAGTCTGCTCATGGGCTCTGAAAGCCAGGCTCAAGATCCCCACTGCGAAATATCTCCTCTGAAGACCACGCTGGCCTCATACTACCAACAGTCGCTGTGCAAACAGAAACAGCCCCCCAGGCCACGCCACTGGAACAGGCCCAGCGTGAGGACACTCGCTCCAGGCCGCAGCACCTGCCCCACAAGGCCCTGAACCACGGGCCACCGCCCTGACTGCGTGGCTCCCCACACAGAAACACACTGTAAATGCAAACCATACTCTCTGTTCTCAAGACAATCAAGAAAAATACATAGATCATGGCAATTTTTAAAAATTTATTGCATGTAAAAATAATATGTTGGACATCTTAAACTGTAGGATTAAAATCAGAGTCACCTGTGCCTGTGACTTGGGTGAAACGGAGCTACCAGAAAACGCACCCCTGCACAGGTGGCCTCCATCAAACCCCACCCACCCACAGAGCCTGAGCGCTGAGTACCGGCCTGGTGCCACGCTGTCCAGCATGGTGGCCAACAGGCGAGCTTTTCCCAGACACCCTTTCTATTCCTCTCCTCTGCTTCTGGGGCTGGGAGACCAGGGAAGGTCACTGTCTGCTCAAAGTCAATGCCCAGAGTGGCCGGGCAGGGCGTCAGCAGGCACTGGGGCTGCAGCTCCTGCTTCCTGTGTCCAGCCCCTGTCGGCCCAGACAACAGCTTTCCCCCCTCCTCTCCTTCCTTGTAAGGAGCACTCAGGGTCAGGGGAAAGGGACCTCCTGTGCAGGACACCGAATCCCCACGAGGATAAGTGACCATCACCCAGTGAGGTGGGTCAGGAGGGGTCAGGAGGGATGAGGAGGGGTCAGGAGGGATCCCTACCTCTCGGAGTCCTGGGGTTCTGTACCCTCTCAACAGCTTCAGGAGCCCAGGGTGCCCCATCTCCTCCTGAGTTTCTTTGGGCTGTGGTCTCTGCTGATCTGAATGCAGACTCAAGACAAGGGGCCAGCAAGCAACAACTCCCCCTGGAAAACACCTCAGTGAGGGGTGGAGCTCAGGCTGTCCTGCCTGAGTCCATGCCGTCCTTAACCAAAGCCAGACCTTGGCCCTCCATGAGGGACCCTCTGGCCGAGTGAGGAAGCCCTGGTGCCCACCAGCCTAGAGCAAACATGGAAGGAGTCCCCTGAGCACCAGGCGCTGGTGATGGCCACCCTTCCTACTGCCTATTTCTGGAAGAACCTGGTGCTGGCTCTCCCTCACACACCCTGAGCTGGGGCCAGTGCCACCTGCAGCCTCTCTCCCCACCCTAGTGTGACCTAGGGAAGTTCCAATGCCAAGACCTACAACCGGAAATGGAAAGGGAAGACAGGGTCTCTCAGCCCCACGCGATCCCAGGCGTGGCCTCAAGACAGCCGGGCCAGTCTGTCCTGCCCTCCCGGGCCCCCCAGACCCCTTCCCCTCACGCCTCCTCCTCACAACCCAGGAGTCACACAACCTGGGGTTCTCAAAACCTTGCCCCAATGTTGCTGGTAAA